TTGGCAGTAGAAATTCATTTTCTTGATAACTTTCCATCGAAGATCGAAGAAACGAGAAAGAATAATTCGTGATTTATTGACGTTTATTGACAAATTCGGTTTTTGTTTATCTTGGCAACTTGTTTCATGAATAGATGAAATTGGATTCAAAACTGATAATCTCGAGGCTATTATTTTATCAATTAATTAATGTAAAATAGGTATACGTTAATTTGGACTTTTAATGGTGTTTATAGAAAAAATAATGTATGATATACGTGCTAAAAGTGATTTTATTTTGTTTGAAGGGATGACCTTCGGCGTCGTGTTCCAAACTTCCCTTCTCACAAAATAAAATATCACTTTTAGCACTTATATCATAAATAACTATTTTTTATTTTACAATTTGATCAGGAATTTATTTCAATATCTAGTATAAATAGCTAAAAAAGATATACTTTCCTAAAATCTGTTGATAAAATAAATAATATAAATAAATAAACAACCTTTTTAATTACAAGATGATTAATTAATAATACTATGCCTAGATCAACAAATATATAAATAGTAACCTGTAGTAAATAATACAATATAACCACATAACCAAAAACTGAGATATGATATTTCGACTTTATAGTAACAAAATTAAAGTAAAAAAGTTCGCATTTGTATGAGTAATAAACTAGACTAGACAGTAATGCACCTACGTGAGATCCGTAATCAATATCCCAACCACATACATAAATAGCTTCATGCAAGAAACCGCATCTGTAGGTCTGTGAGAGTTTAAAATTTATTGAGGGAAGAACCGACTACTAGTTACTCTTAGAACGAGAGATAAATTATTTTCTTTTTAAATAAACCACGTAAAATGTAGGTACTTGTGCACTATTTATGGTAATCAAATCACGAAATGAGGAATTTTGAATTAAAATTCGTTTTCAGATAATAAATTTATAGGTTAGAAAACTTGGTAATCAGAGAAGTCAGGAACGCCCAATGTGGACCACAAATATGGCTGACATTACTGTCATAAGAGAGAATATTTGTAGGCTTATTTACATATATGTAAACTATCGATTTCTCATATTTGAAAGAATAGATATTTTCTTTCAAAGACAAGTAGTTAGATTTTTTTTTAATTACACATCAATATGTGAATATATCTGAATTTAAAACTGCTATAGGGATTTATGCAGGTACATATTGTTAGGATAAAATTCATTAAACAAATCAAAGCAATAACGTATTTAAAAAATATTGTCCTTCCTTTTTTAAACTCCCGTATTCCCACAATCAATCCATGGTACAAAATCATAACTTTCAATATTTACTAACATACTTCAATCTGTTAATTTTTACTGCGGATGATAGATGGGTTTAATTTTACTTAAGAAGTTCTAACAAAGCAGTCCGATTTAAAATGTCCTGAATATAAAACGTTCAGAGATTTTGGAACCCAATCTGTGTGCTTCTAGAATCCATAAGTTAATTTTTTTTAAATCTTTAAGAAACTTGAAAATTGTTGGTTTAGGATGTATTTATTCATTTGAGCCACCACATATTTTAAAATAACTACATATAAACAGATCGACGTATTTACAATATTTGTTCACAGTTTGAAAAAGTTAAAAAAATTCAGAAATCTTTAATGTGTTTAAAACCTGAGAAAATCAAATACTTATGAAATGTGGTTCCTTTGTTTCTACTTTTATAGTAAGTAAATTCTTTATTTAGCTTTCAGCTAGTTATAAACAAATATTTACAATTTAAACTTAAAACTATAGGTTACCTAAACCTAGATAATTACTAATCATATTTTTAAAACTACCTAGAGTTGGGGCATCTTTTATATTTTTAGGCAACGCATTAAAAAGACGAATCCCTTCCTGCAATAATGAGCCCATCAAAAAAGATTTGTTTGTGAATTCAATATTAAAATTGTCCATTGATCTGAGTGGACGTAAATGAAGTTCAGATCTTTTTACAAGTAGTGTACTAAGGTATTTCGGAGTTTTGTGATGTATCATCTTATATATTAGTATTAAATTCGACATTTTAATGCTTTGCTCAATTGAATAGACATTCAGCTGTTCATGCATTTCCCTGACCGAAGTGTAAATATTACAATTTAATATTATCCTTAAACATTTATTTTGTAACAGTTGCAATCTTTTGATGTTTTCTTTAGTTATTAAATTAAAATGTGGGCGTATTATTGTATTATAAATCAGAGATTTTGACCATTGCAACAAGTTACATGAAATCCTTCTAAAAAAACCAATTTTTTTACCTAATTTTTTATATAAGTAATTGGCATGATTATTAAAAGTTAATTGTTGGTCAATAATGACTCCTAAATATTTTATTTCCAGTACTTGTTCAATTGGTTCACCACCTATTTCTACTACTTGATCATGCGCATTAAGTTGTCTGCATTGTGCTTTTGATCCTAGGATCATATATTTTGTTTTTGCAGTATTTAATTTAAGCTTATTTACACACAGCCAGTCATACAAAATAGACAATTCTTCATTTAATATTTGAATTATTTCCTGAAAATCTCTACCAGATACTGAAATGAGCGTGTCGTCCGCGAAAAGGCTAATAAATGATCATTTTAATCGTTTATGAATGTCATTTACATAAATAATAAATAAAAGTGGACCCAACACACTTCCTTGCGGTATCCAGTAGTGGCTTTCTGTTTCACTAGATATATTATTTCCTATTTTAGTCTTATGATACTTATTAGACAAATACTCCCTAATTAAATTTAATGCTACCGAATTTACACCGTAATTTTGCAACTTATTTAATAAAAAATTTCTATTTATTGTTTCAAAAGCCCTTTTAAGGTCAATAAAAACACTAACAATAATATTATTTTCATTCATATCATTTCTCCATTTCGCACAAACAAATTGGAGAGCTGTTTCACAAGAATGTTGGTCTCTAAACCCTGACTGTCCCTCATACAAAATATTATTGTCTTCAAAATAAGACTTGAGCTGATCTCTTACTACAATTTCAATGATCTTATCTGCAGATGGTAATAAATTTATAGGCCTACAATCTTCTGGTCTTGTTGGACATGATATTTTGGCTATTGGCACAATTACACTAACTTTTAAATCACTGGGAAACGTACCCTTTACAAGGACCGTATTTACCAGATTAAGAAGAGGGTACCCGATAACACAAAATAACCCCTTCAATAGTGCAATACTTAAACATGCGTCACCTGAACTTTTATTTTTAAGATTGTTCACTATTTTTGTTAATTGATTAAAACTTATTTTTTTAAAAGCACCAAACTCACTGTTGATATTGACGTCCTCATGGGTGAAATCCTCTTATCTTCAATGCTGTTTGCGATTTCCTGGATACTGTTTTTGTAAAAATTATTAAAGTTCTCTTCCACAGTACTATTATGTTCACTAAAAATAATTTTTTCAACATCTAACTTTTTTTTATTTTGACCTAGCAATTGTTTTATAGTTCTCCACATTTCTTTTCCATCATTTTTAGATTTATCTATTTTGTCCTCAAAATATGTCTTCTTCTCTTGTCTGACTATGGTCGTTACCTTATTTCTTTTAGTTTTGTATATGTCCTGCTATATCCACAAAATGTTCAGCTGACAATATTGTCTATGTTTTTTAACGAAGAAAAATTATAATTAACACTAACACTTGAAGTACTAAATAAGATTTTAATTAATCATACATGGTTTGTTAAGATGGCCGACTTTTGTCACAATGATTAGGATTTGGATTATAAAAAGAAAAACATGATAATTTCAGTTTTAATAATTATAGAAAGTTAGACCACAATGCAAAGATTTTGTCCAGCTCCTCATTACACGTGTGAAGAAGATTAAGAAAATAGGCATGGGTGCAAGATAAGATAAGATGTTTTATAAAGGTTTTTCGAATGGAGAGATTGGCACTGAACCGGAAGAAAACAAATTTGTAGAACAAAAGAACAAAATAACAGAGAAAAAAAATTGTAGAAAAAAAAATTAAGAAAACAATAATATTGTAGTAGACAACAGCCTTCATATTCTGGTAACCAATTATTTCAAATCACTTTTTGCGATCTAAGTAATTATACAACAATTTTAGAACAATATATTTAATAATGTAATGCGAGCCATTTTCAACCAGTTCGGTAACGATCTAATCCCTTAAGTCTCTTATTGCCTTCACTTTTACGAGTACCGATAATATTCGATGAAGTAAACCTCTGAAACCTCCTTGTGGGACGACTATGGTGTCGTAATGAATCATTCATTCTAGAATTCACTGGAACGATGGTGAGAGCGCCTAGACAACCATTTTTCTGAATGCTGCGGTTATTCTGGTCATTACTTTCGTAATAAATCTATTATTTTTTTGGTTTAAATGTGACGCTGTTTCTTTTAATCTACTACGATTCATTAAAAAATGTCCCCCATACACTGTTAATTTCTATATTTGAAGCAAGCACAATATAAAAGTAACATAACTATTTTTAAATTGTGCATGTTTAAACAGTTTGGATTATGTCAGGAACAAACTTTCAGATAGATTTCGTTTTGACGTTTGCGCCGAATTTTAAAGGAATTCTATCTTAAAATAACATCTATTACATTTTATTAAAATCTATTACGTTTTAGGGCAACTGTCTATTAAGATTTTTTTTTCTAAGAACAACACTGGATTTTCTATAAAATGATGATATCCGTGATGTAAATTTTGGCGGCTGCGTGGTAAAATGTTGTAGAAAGTTCTGGTGAATTCAAGAACATTCGGGTTGATCACATTTTTATAAAAAAGGCTATTTGGCTATTGGAGTCAGTTTAAGCTGAGATATCGCTTTGAGCAGATTAATATTGTTAATATAAATTTTAGTAAATAAGTAAATGTCCATACAAATTAGTATAGAATAAATAAATAAAGTGTTTGAAATAAATAAACGTTATAATAATAAAAAATAGTAAAATTGTACTTATATAAAATTATAAAAAAATCCAATGTTTACTTCTTTTTCTTCTCCTCGTCTGTTTTTTTATCAGATTGCTTTTGGTTTTCTGTTTTTGCTACAGTTTTTGTTTTACTTTTTTCTTCAGTTTTTTCTTCAGCTTTTGCTACAGTTTTGGTATCAGTTTTGGTTTCAGTTTTGGTTTCTGTTTTGGTTTCTGTTTTGGTTTTAGTTTTGGTTTCAGTTTTTGCCTCAGTTTTTGCTTCAGGTTTTGTTTCAGTTTTTGCTACAGTTTTTGTGTCAGTTTTCACTTCCACTTTCGTTTCAGTTTTAGTTTCTACTTTTTTCCCTGGTTGAGGTTCAGGTTCAAGAAAAATTGAGTCTATTTTAGGATCTACCCATTTGAATGTAGGGAATTTGTTCAAATCTATTTTTTTCTTACCTGACTGATATTGTTTTGTTATACTTCTTAATTGAGTCCTTAACTGATCTTGCAGCTCTTTAGTTGGTTCAACTAGGTTTTTACCTCCGTTGCTTTTGACCCTATATTCTCTAATTTTATCAATAAACAGTTGTTGAATTGGATCGGTGGCTTTTTCCAGACAAGGTGAGTGAATAGAGATGTTCCTATTAAAAAATCTTCTTTTTACGGAACTTTTGATGGCATTTACATTGTGGGATGGTAACATTTTTTTGAATAGTCAATTTGTAGCCCGAAAAAATATCTACGGCATCTGACTTTAAGAATGGTATTTGGGTAATGTCAAATCATTGACGTTTTTTACCTAGTTAAATACGGGTAAACACTATGGGTTCCTGATCTCTGACTATGAGATACTAGAGGGAAAGAGGCGAATCAACAATGAGCAAATTTTCGTTCTCTTCTTTGTACGGTGACGGGTCGTTCGTTAATTACTCTAAAAATTGAGGAAAAAGTATAAAAAATTGTGATAAAAGTACATTGCTACAAGTAACATGAGTGGTAAAAAATATAAAAGCAGGATTTGTTTCGATCCCGGGTGTAGAACGAGATATTCTACAGATACACAACTGAGGAAAATGCGAAATTAATGCAAGCCTCCTAGCGTAAGTAAAATAATTTATAATATATTTATTGAAACAAGTTACAAACCTTATCTTACTAAATGCAGTTTATTTATAAGATATACATTTTTATAACCTAAAAACAACATAATTACACAAATTTAACTTACTAAAAAGTAGGGTTTTTTTAAAAGTTTTGATGATAGAAGTACTGTGGCGATCCATTTTTATAAATGGCGGATTGTCTACCGTCGATTTATCATAATGATTTGATTATCAAAATAAAGCTGCAGATATTGCACCTAATTTAAATTTTCTGCTTTTATTGGAACACCCGTTATATTGTTGCTCGCTTTAAACTGTATACATGCTTGATTGCCGACATAATGAGCTAGTTGTGTACAGTGTGTTAATCAAATTAATAGGAGCAATAGTATACAATGTATAGATGTATTCAATCAACAAAAGCTCGTGAATCGGTTAGGGGGATTGACGGCGCCATCTAAGTCCATAATACGATCAAATTATTGCAGTGGTTTATATAATTAAATTCCAATCCCCATACAAGGAAGTTCAACTTTATTCTTAGATGTTTTTAGAAAGAAGATGTAACAAATTAATAAATTATTTTTATAATTTTCTAAACGTAAATCTTAGTAGCTATTTTCGGTATGTTTTATAGATTTCAGTTTTTGCAAATAACTCGGAAAAATGTTTTGACCATGTGAGATCTCAATTTATTGTACCTTTTACCCCATTTAACCAAATCTGTATATCTAACAGTTATCATATTTTATTCTAGTATCCCTAATACTTAAAAATTAGAAGGTAATAATTGTCATTTTAAGCTAAATCATTGATAAAAAAACTTAATCAATAAGGATAAAAGATTGTACACCCCATTAAAATTTGTAACAAAATAAAATCCCTTTTAATAAGTTTCACACCGACCCGGTGCACATTATTCAAATTTATATGGAAATTTCAGAGGGTTAAATGTAGATCAATAGAATTTATTTATTCGGAAACCCAAGGCAAGCAAGAGAGAAAACGAGAACCTCGACAGATATTAATTTACTAATCTTCTTAAATCTTGCTGACGAAATAACGAAATGTAAAGCTGTAAATATAAATTCATTTTCTGTTAAAAGGGACTGAGAGGTCTGAAAATAACCGATAAGGGTTCAATGCAGAGTTTGAAATACCGTTTGTTCAGATATTCATTGTACATCAAGGTAGAAATAGACTGATTGAATGAACGTTTAATAAAGAATTATATGATAACCTCATTTTTAGATAACTTATAACATTGGATTAAAAATTTCGATTAAAAAACTAAATTGTTTCGAAATTTCTTATGAGGTACGTTCTTTCACGTTCTTTATACTACAGTGCTTTCATAAAGTAGTGAATAAATTCACTTTTAGCAAAAATATTAATTTTTTAGCAAAAATATTCATTTTTAAGAAAATTCCAGAAACATGTCGATTTCGAGGGGTTTAGATGGAGAGGTTGCTGCTGCTTCACGACGCTGCGTTTTTGACAAAATTATTTTTTAGTATTCATGTATCATAAACCATCCCAAACAAACCCAAAAGCGTGCATAATTTTCAACATATACGCATGCAGTGTCACATTATACTATTTAAATTTTTAAATAATTCTAAAAACTTCTGATTATCTGGCCGGGAGTCAAATAATAATTTATACTCGAGGAGGATAGGTTCGACTTTGGTTGCTTTGTCATGAATAGGAATGCCAGTTTTATGAAGGACGGTTTGTTGCGTTTGAAGGCATTCCACTTCATCAGTCATCATCAATAGATAGACGACTCCGCCAGAACTATTTGACCAGTATTTTAGTGAACGTCTCTAGGACTATTCTGTTACTTTTTTGTTAAAACAAACTGAACTTTTCATACTTGTAACATAAACAATAATGTGAATATTTTACGTTGTGTTATATTATTTATGGGATGTTAATACACAACCTTAAACATTTATTGTGTCCCCTTCTGTACTAAGGCAGCAAGAGAATAGTCTCGACGTCTGTAGCAACCCTTCCAATCTTGTCTTCTAAGGAAGTGGAGTATTTGAAGTATCTCCAAGCTGCTCTTGCATTCTGTAGTACTACAAATTCACTCAAAATCTAAATTAAGGTTTTGCAAAATCTGCAATATTTTCACTATTTTCTACTAGATCTAAGTTTTCTAAGGTGTCCTTTGAGTTGGCAATGCCAAGGATCTTCTTTACTATGCGTAATCTGTTCTTACTCAGACAGATACAAGCCTTTGATATGTTCTGATTATAGTTACCCAGAATTCTTAGTCCCAAAATATAATTCTAGTTCTTTTTTAATGTCACAAAGGATATTTGAAATCCTTTCCTTGCGTTACCCTTTGCTACGTCCAGGGACCCAAGTGAAAGTAATTGTATTTACTTCGCCTAGCTTATTCGGCACTTTTAGACCATTTTTGAGCTGATTAAGTAAGAGCTTAGCGCTTGGCTATCGGACATGACGATAATCTCTTGTCTGGAATAGTTTTTATGGAAGTTGAATTGGATACACTTCTGAATGGCGTACATTTTTGGATGGAAGAAGTTTCAGCATTTATCCAAACTTTCAGAGTGCTCGGTTCTAGACCCATACACTCTTATTCCAGTTCCTTCTTTATTTTAGGACCCAACTGTATACCACTGAATGCTAATCGGTTGCAAATGTGTTTGATTTTTGGCTCCATTCTATCTTGCAGTTTAGCTCTTTTGAAGATTTTTACAAAACTGTACATCTTTATCAATTCGTCCTGAGGTATATTCCAAGAATCTTCCGTTTATGAACATTTTATTCTCGTATTTTGTCACTTGCTACGTTCTCGACTATTAAATGTAGAGGTGTGAAGTTTAAGAGGTTGTTACTCCTAGCTACCTATAGCACCGTAAGTGATGACGGATCTCACTATTGCTCTATACATAAAATGCAGAGTGTTTGGGCTACATCATCATCTTTTTACCGCAATTTTTCTGCACACCATTAGGGCATTTGTGACCTGTATATTCCAGAGAAGTTTACTGTCTAGGTTAGGCTTAGATATCTAACCTCTTTTTTCTATTCTATACTTATCCCGTCTATTTTAGCGGTTTTAAGTTTGAGTTCTCTTTTCCTTGAAAAGGCTACTAGTGATGTTTTGATGGGTTTTATACCTAGTCCTACTTTCAGACACTATACTCTGATCTTTTTAGTCCTCTTTGGAGTATATCAAATAGGATCATTTTCAAACTTGTCTCTCGTAAAATGACTATATCGTTGGCATACCTTGTCAAGACTTACCGAGATCAGTCAATCTCCATAGAAATTCGCCTATGACCAGGCTCCCCATTAGTAGGGATATAATTCCTTGTGTAGAGTCTCTGTTCGTGTAGTTGGAGATAGTGCCTTATCCTGACTGGGTGTCTGCAGTTCCTGTAGAAAGCCTGGATTTCATCAATCAGCTGTATCAAAACAGTTCCTGTCAATCTGCATGTAGGTTCGACGCCCAGGCACAAGGGGGGCTCGGCAGCTTTAGCTGAGGATATTTTTCTTTTTTTAGAAGCTCGTTATACAAGGAAGGACCTGAATTACGAAACATACAAGCAGAGGACCTTTTTTTGATTTCACCAAGAAGGGACCTGATTTTGCTGACTCTTTTTAGAAATTTCACACAGAAAGGACTTTATAAAAATGCCCCTATTCCTTTCGCAAATCTGCCAACCCTAGTTTGCCCTTGAGAGTGGTACGCCCCTCAGCCCACCATGGCTGTAGGCGGCCCTGTCTGTATGCTCGGTAAGGATGTAAGGTTGATTGGTCAGAAGGCATCCTTTTTCCCTACTTTTGGAATCTACGGTAATGCGCTATAATAGTGATGGCGTAACTTGTATTCTACTGATAATGACAATAACTTATAAAAATTAGTGTTCATGGGTATTCATTAACATTTCATTTATATTATTTTTAAGAATAAAATCATTTAATAATTAAAAATAATTTGGTAATATACCTTTAAACTACTTTGTACGACCTGTAAGTATAAATAAAACCTATATGTTAATTCAATGAATTACTTACATCATGACACAAACTACTATTCATCCTTAAAAATCAAAAAGTCATGGATTTTGTGATAGTAACAAGAACAAATGTCCTTTGAATACGAAAAATGTAAAATTTGGGTAGCTTCCTTTGAATACGAAAAATGTAAAATTTGGGTAGCTTAGAGTTAAATTAAAAAAAAAAAAACAAATTCTAAATCGATGACGCATTAAAATATTTTCCGGATTTTGAACACATTTTTCAATTTATCAATAAAACAGGAAGGAAAAACACCCCAATTTGTTTTGATCCTCTTGAATGCGTAGAGAAAAAACAGGAGATAAATCAACCTTTTATGAAACGTGCATATACGTTTCGGATCTAATGGAACGCATTAACATGATTGCGATATTTCTTTTTGATTTTCAGTGAACGTATGGGGCTGTCGTATTCAAACGTTGTGTCATAGATCCAACTTTTATGCTCCCTCTTTCCGGATTTGCATTCTTTAATGATTCGCAAATTTTGATGAAAGTGTTCCGACACTCAAAGCTCGATCTGTTCTATTATTTTTTTGTTTTAGACTCCACACACTGCATCAACATTTTATAATAATTTCGAAACAACTTTGGCATTTAAAGGGTACCTCGTATATTAAATAATATCTATAATAAATAGCCTTTGTTTTTTATATAATAGACCATAAAACGC